CATCTGCATGTTTTCTATGGATCTAGAGAGGGCTTATGACTGTGACTGGGAGCACGGGGTGCAGTGGATGTTTTGAAGGGATATCCAGTCCCTGTATAACCAAAGCAAGAGCTGCGTCCACATCCTCTACTTAAAAGTTTAGCTCATTTTTGACGCAGCTTGAAGTTTTCCAAGTCTACTTTGCACCTGATCCTGTTTGTAGAGAGACTATGGACAGGATCTCAAGGTGCAGTTATAGAGAAAAGCATGTCAGGTTGTGAAACCTCAGGGTCTAGTAGTCTCTGCTTTATGCAGATGATGGGATTATGTTGGCGTCTTCAGGTCATGACCCTGAATGTGCACTGGGGCTGTTTGCAACCAAGTGAGAAGAGGCTGGGATGAGAGTCAGCTCCTCTAAGATTGAGGCCATGGCTCCCAACCAGAAAAATAAAAATAAACAATAGAATGCTCCTATATGGAGGACGAAATGTGACAAAATGAAGTAAATAAATACATAATACATACATAACAATTAAATGTATCATTTAATTATTAAATACATCATTAAATCATTAAATATATAATTAAATTATTAAATAAACCATTCATATTCAAATGTACCTTTAAAAATATGTATTTATTTACTTATTACATTTTGTCACCTTCTGCCCTCCAGAATATGGAGAACGGAATGTGACAAAATGAAATAACTAAATACACAATGAAATAGTAAATACATCATTAAATCATTAAATACACAATTAAATCATTAAATACACAATTACATTATTACATACACAATTAAGTAGTTAAATACACAATCATATTATTTATTTCATGATTTATTTATTTATTTAATTCTGTCACATTCCATCCTCATGTGTCACGGTGAAATGATGTTAACTGTCAGTCTCACTCATCAAACTCAGTGGGCGGGACTAGGGCGGGTCGTGAACAGACCCTGACGCCTGATTGGCTGCTCCTCACAGCAAGCGAAGACAAATCGACCGCAGATAATGGATTGATCAGACCGAAGCAATGGATTTCACATGATCAGCGTTAGTCCCGCCCTAGTCCCGCCCACTGAGTTTGATGAGTGAGACTGACAGTTAACATCATTTCATGGTGACACATGAGGATGGAATGTGACAAAATTAAATAATAAATAAATCATGAAATAAATAATGTGATTGTGTTTTTAACTATTTAACTGTATATTTAATTGTGTTTAATGATTTAATGATGTATTTAATATTTCATTAGTGTGTATTTATTTATTTCATTTTGTCACATTCCGTCCTCCATACCTTTGTGGTTAGGCTCAGCCTTAGATGTTAGTGGGGAGCTCGGAGTAGAGCTGCTGCTCCTTGGCTTTGAAAGGAGTCAACTGATTAGACTGTCTCCTGGAGACCTTCCTCTAGAGGTTTTTTGGTTATGTCCCACCAGGAGGAGACATCAGGGCAGACCCAGAACTTGGTGGAGAGATTAACCTTCCTCCTATCTCATCCATGCATGGTGTTCCTGTTGAGTTGGTAGATTCTTACAAATACTTGGGAATTTTAATTGATGCACATCTCTCTTTTAAACTCCATATTGAAAACTTCATAAAGAAACTGAAATTAAAACTGAGTTTCTTTTTCAGAAATAGATCATGTTTAACTCTGAATGCCAGAAAATACCTTATATCTGCTACTTTCCTACCGACCACTGACTATGGTGACATTATTTACATGAATGCCCTGCCAGCTCCTTGCAGATGTTGGATGCTGTCTACCATGGCACACTAAGATTCATTACTGATTGTAACTACCATACCCATCACTGCACTCTGTACTCCTTGGTCAGCTGGTCATCATTATCTACTCATAGACTCTCACACTGGTTCATTTTCATCTATAAATCCCTCCTTGGTCTGCTACGTTCTTATATGTCCTCCCACATGTTATGCTGTCATTGCAGTTACAACATGCACTCTCAGGACATAATTACCTGCAGTGTTCCCTCAGTGTGGACTGAACTTGACAACAAGGTATTTTCCTACTCAGCTCCTGCAACCTGGAACATCTTGCAACAGGAACTGAAGTTGTCCACCTTGACTTATTTAAGGCGTTGCAAACATTTGATTATGTCAATAGAAAAATCAAAGCAAATATGTTCTTGTTTTAGTATTTCATCCTGTTTTACAGCACCCTGATTTATTGTTTTGTACACTACTCTTATTTTAACTGCATTTTTACTATAATTTATTGTTATTATTGTTTATTGTTATTGTTGTCTACTTTATATGTTCTGTCTGGAACAGATCTTTCTTGTAAATGAGTCCTTGTGGCTCAATAAGACTAGCCTGATAAATAAATCATGAATGAATTAAACAAAATCTTCTCTGGTGTGGAATTGCCTTGTGTTTCTCTAGGAGGAGCTGAAAAGAAGAAGGATATCTGGGGTTCCCTCCTGGATCTTTTGCCTCTGTGACCTGGATAAGTGGCAGAACATGAATGGATGAAATGGATGAAATGGATGAGATGGATGGATGGATGGATGGATGGATGGATGGATGGATGGATGGATGGATGGATGGATGGAAATCATTCCAAATGCTGTCTGAGGCAGGTAAGATATTGATTGCTGATAACAACATATTACCTCCTGCTCATGTCATAAGTAAAAATCTTCACTCTTTCTTTAAGATCCAGCTATTTTGTAGGAAGTGTTCTACAGTGTTCTGCGTGACAACACTCTTGTAGACCTAGTGAACAAAACAGTATCAGTAAAAGTGCACGTGAACCCCGACCCGTGTACGCCTGAGTCCAGCAGACACGCCCAACATCTCAGTTAAGCTGTTCTCTGTAGGGCCTCTGCATACACCAGTGATGGAATTAGTCTGTGTTCGCTGGTCCCCGAGCCCCTCTCGTAGCTCCTCAGCTGATAACGCAGGGATGAGGAGGTAAAATAAGCCTCAGAGGAGCTTGGCTACTTAATGCTAATGTAATTAGATTAAGCATTAGCTTCGCTGGTGCAATAAGTAAAACGATCCTCTATTTGTTTAACAGACTTTTGTTTGATAAGGTTAGTGCAGTTTAATAGATCCCGCACAGATTTGTTAGAGAATGTAGATGTTTCTAATTTCAGCACTTCTTCCAAGCGCGGCTTTAAGAGAAATTGTAAAAAATAAATTACATTATATTTGTGCTAATTAATTCACAGAAAATTGCAACAGTTTTACTTTCATCTATTTGCAAACCCTCTGTTAGGTATACCGATTATAAAATAATAAGTTTAAAAAAAAAAAGGCACAAGGAATGGGAAAGCAAGCCACAAGATATGACCCTGGGGATGTGTAAATTAAATCTACAAGATGATGGAGCAAACTGATCCTTGACTCAAGCTTGTACTTTTAATAGCCATATTTGAAATAACTCCATATTACCCAATTTAAAAAGAATCCCCATTAGAGGAGAGCTCCAGGTCTCCTTCTTATAAAAAAAAAAGACGTAGAAGCAGTTTACGGCTTCATGATTTAGAGACGTGAATGTGCCCAAAAGAAAGGGTGTGTTTGTGAATTTAACACATGAAGAACAAAATGAAACATAATAACTTTGATTGCAAATAGTTGCAGTTTATACAGAACAACATTAAAGAAAAAAAGACTTATCCATGTGCAGACGTGCAAAACAAGGCTGTTGGATGTTGTGAACATTTTATTTCCTGTTCTAACTCAGTCACTGAACGTTTGTAAAAAAGGAAAAAGAAACATCTGGATGACTACATCATCTGTTTGACAAAACATATATAGAATTTAACAATGGATGTTTTAAGTTTACTGTCAAGATATATATTTTTTTAATGTAAGCGACAAAAAAGGTTCATTGAAGTTGAGCAAACATACATAATTAGAATGTAAAAAGTAAGATAAGTTGTTTAAAAACTTCATTAAACTTATCAAACTTTCCTGGCTGCACCTTCAACTCTCTGAACTGGTTACAATCTAAAACTTTGCAGACCAAGCATTGGAAATTGGATGCATCAAAACGAAAATTTGTAGACTTCCAGCTTGGTTTGCAACTGAAGAAAAGTGATAGTTCCACAATTTAACTCTGGAGTGTTTGGTTTTATTTAAATAAGATAATTATTTTGAATAGATGCATGTGCAAATCAAGCTTTTTCACATTATAATGAATGATGTCACACCTAAAAATGAATATGTTCAACCACATTAAATGAAGTTAGTACACTTTTTCATAAATCACAATTGAATTACCTTATAATAATAAATACCTCTTCTACTAAAAAGTATCGACTCAATGATGAAGATTTATGAAAGCTCCAGCGCTGAAAACATCATTTTTATTTTCATAATCTGTGTTCATTGCTAATCTTCCTGACTGCTGTTTTACAGAGTAAGAGCAGTGCCAATTGAAATTGGATTTTTTTTTTTTTTTTTTTTTATCGACATACCAAAAAAGATGTTACCATACAGTTCAAAAGTTTAGACCCACCCATTCATTCATTTAGAATGGGTCAAGTTTATGTTACATGTCAAGGAATTATAAATACTAACCCATTTATGATTCTTGTGCTTTCACTCAAATTCTTTTGGGGGTTTCTTAGTCTTTGTCTGAGACTTATTTCCTGTAAAATGTGACTTTTTTAACAGTGGCTTCCCAAAGCAGAAACTGTATAAATCCATGGATTAATGTTGTGTAAGTTTTATACTGACTCATCAGTCTAAATGATTTAATAAAGATGTGTCCTCAAACCCCATGACTGACAGCTTAATGGTTATATTGTAATTATATGAATCACTCTCAGCCATTATAAGTAGCACAGGTCAGAGGTCACACACTGCAGCTGGCAAGAGCAAGAAAATGTGCATCCAAAGAACAGTCAGATTTACAGAAAACATCTTTTTTTGTTGTTGTTGTTGACTTTTGTGCGCATTGTACATCTCGAGTATCTGGAAACTTACCATGAAAATTATATTTTTTTTTTTTTTAAAAAGAGATGAAATAAGTCAATCATACCTGAACAAATCCCTAGCAGAGTCAGGAGGAGGTAAAGTCCCGGGCAGCTGGCAGACATCTCTGAGAGCGGCTTTTAATCCGGTCACAGCAGATAGTCTGCAACTTCTGCAGCAGAGTCGATGGAGGTGAACGGGCTGGGGAGGGGGGGGGGGGGAGGTTGAGCTCCGACTCTCACACCAAGGAAGCTGAATCAAAGTTCAAACCGCTCGCAGACATGGTTGCGGGTTTTAAAATCCACTCTTCGGCTGCGCGTTCGCATGGATGGATTTTCCTCTCCGCTCGCATGTGCTTCCCCACGCGGAGAACTTCTCTGAATTCATCACACAGAGCCTCCACTTCAGGAGGAAAGAGAGGTGGGGGAGAGAGAGAGAAAGGGAGCGCTCACTGTATTGCTTTAAACTCCCGGTGCTGCCCCGGATTCTTTGGGCTGGCGCTGGTTGGATGAGGCGCCGTGCGTCTTTACGCGCGGAGCTGGGGTTGGTTTCTCCTTCCCACTGAGCGGATTTTCTGTTGTGCTGAGGAGATTCCTGTGGGTCAGGCACCATTTAACCACAGAAGGATCTACTGACAGCAGAGGCTCCACGAGGCTTTTGCTCAAAGCTCGTGGCGTATGAATTATGACTGGTCAAAATAAAAAGTAAGAAAAACATATATATATATCACAAACGGTCTATTTATACCACAAGTCTCTTAAAACACATGACAAAGTTCCACGAGACGAACTTTTACTAAAAGGCAGCAACAGCAGAATTTAAATTAGACGCCAATTAAAACATTTGTTTTCAGTGTACATCATTATTAAAGAGGTTACACCTCCAGAAGAGCCTTTTTATGATGCATAGTCTCCAACTAAGAGTCAGTTAATATTTTAAAGAGTGCATTCGGTTGAAAGTGAGCATAATGTGACCTTGATGAATGATTTATTCTGGTCTCCTATCAAAAGCTACGTGCGCTGCGTCTTTATCAGAGCCAAAAATAAATAAATAAATCTGGGATCACATCAAAAATATACTTCCTGCTTAATGAGCCTGCAAATTGCACCTTGATCTATACACAGTCCGCCAAGAGAAAGCTGTTTTCCCTTCATTTTATTTGACCCTCCCAAGCAAACAGCAAACTGGATAAACCTAAAGAATGCATTGACTGACTGTCTTCCAAGTCCTGACATTATATAACAATGATAGTGAAACAAAATAAAATAAAGTTTCCTAAAATTTAGCTAAATTTAAGCAGTCATCCTTTCCTTACTTTGTGCTTGCAGGATGATGTCTTTCATAGTGAACCTCAAAAATGTCTTTGTTGTCTGAGCAGGTCAGCGCCCCCTCTGCTGGCTGTAATGTGTAATTACAGGCATGATTGGAGGACGTCTGTCTGATTTCTTTTGTGCTTAAGAAACAAACAAAAAAAATGCTGCTACAAGAATTATTTAGGTTTAAAATTCCTTTTTGTGCTCTAATTTTGCATTAATTCATAACACTATGACTATGTAAAATGCATGCTTAGTTTATTAGCAAATAGATATATTAAAGATATAAAGATATCCATATTACTTGCTGCTTCTCATTCCAGAATATTGGACTAAAATCATCTGATGCTGAGAAGGGATGGAGTTATAGCAACATGGTTTATTGGTTAAACCTTGTATAAATGTTAAGTGTGGTATCACTCAGAATAATGAGCGACTTCCACACCTAAATTAGCTCAATATCTGCACAACTGGCTGAGGTATAACAGCCATTGTTGTGTTAGTTAAGGTTGACAAGCTGTGGTAGCCATCTTGAATTGAGTTGCCCCCAAAAGATAATCAGCTGTAGATGTGCATCTGAATATAACTTTCTGAATTTCATGTAAATCTGTTCACTGCTACATGAGGCATTTTGCTAACAGCAAAACAGTTTGACGCCAACAGTTCATGACATTGTTTTAATAAAACTACTACACAATGTGTAGTGCTTGAGTATGTTTTGGAAAGGTTGCTCAGCTATCACATCAAATATTAGCTCAGTATATGTAAAACTGGCTGAGTATTGCTATTTTAGAATTTTTTTAAGTCAGTCAGCTGCTGTGACTACTAAACTGGGTTTACTACAGAAGTCGATCAGTTGTAGATGTGCATCAAATATTTATATTCTGAGACTTTATTTAATCATCCAGTGGTTCATCAGATATCTTGCTAACAGGCAGACACAGTTGACTCTAATATTTTTTTTGCCAAAGTTTTTAATAAAGAACTTGCACAATCAGGTAGTCCTCAGAATAAGTGATGCAAATGACTTTCAGCTACTACCACACCAAATTCTAGCTTAACACTTGTTAAACTGTCCGAGTCACAGTGATTTATGCCTGATTATCTGTGGCAGTCATCTCAAATGAGGATGACTCCAAAGCTTAATCACTTGTAGATGCATTTTGAATTATTACTTGCAGAGTTTTATAAAATTCTGCCAAAAGGTCCATGAGATATTTTGCTAACACTACAGCCAGATGAACACTCACACAGACACGAGCAAAAAAAACAAACAAAAAAAACCACACATCTTCAGCACCGATGATGAAAATGGAAACCCTTACATACATTTCACACAGATTTGTAGGAGGGTGGGGAAAAAAGTCATGGCATATATTTATTTTAAAAATAGTTCAATGTCAGTTCACGATGAAGGAAGTGATGTTCCTGGGCTTTTAAAACCGAACAAAGCTGCCTTCGCTGCCCTCTAGCCTCAAATCCTTTAATTGTAGATTGCAGACCCCTGGTGGCTCTGCAGAACGCACTCAGCTTTGCAAGAATCACAGCCGGTGAAATACAGGGCATTAAAGTCTCACTGCAAGCCCCTTTCTGCTTTTATACAATGTGCTTCATTTTCATTCAAAACCACCTTCTACTCTCTGCCTTTTTGGTATTTCCTTTTATATTTTTTTTGTCTCCAGCTTCTGCTCATCATATTTCCAGCTGCACAAAGGCGAATATGTACCTGAACTCCTCGCTGTTCATCCTGTTTTGATTCCTTGCTGCACATCACTATTGCTTTTTCACGCCTATTTTCCCAACAGGACACTTCTTCTTTTTATTTCTTCCAAACAAATATCCTCACCATGACTGTGGCAGCCCATTTGACTGCAAGAGTGACATTGTATTACAGCATTGTGGAGGACAATTAAGTCTTGTTTTTTTAACAACAGCATAATTAGTTTTGTTCACAGGAATAAGCTGCTTTTTTTTGTCACTGCAGGGTATAAGCACAAAGAGATGGACGTCCACATGTGGAGCTCCTATTTTCTACTATTTTTTCCCCCCTCAGCATAATAGCATGTGAATTGTGCACAACTGAATGCAAAATTTTGAGAACCCTGTTATCTTTCCACATTTTCTCCATCTTGAGGATTTTTAAGAACAGATGGTACGTGTAAAAATATATATATATAAAAATCCCGACACAAAGATATGCACATTGTCGTGGCAACAAAGCAAAAAAAATATGGCAACGATTTCCAGAAGTCTGTGCCAAACACTGGAAGCTATTTATTTTCATTTATTTTATTCCAAAGCAGCTTTCCAGCTGGTTCTCAGCCAGGTGAGGAAATATCTCCCAAAAATAAACAAAGACAAACCCCCCCACCAGCAGCACCCTCCATATATGTATGGAAAAATCTATCATTTGGAATGTTCTCTGAGCAACAAATTTGGCCTGAGTTTGGCTTTTATTAGTCACTGTTCACTGTGCTGCTGATTAAAAATGCAGGTTGAAAAGAAATAAAACACTGTTAAAATAATTCCACATCAGGATGCTGAAAGACAATATTAATTGAACGTTTTGTTGGTAGACATACACTTACTGCAGCTTCTTTCTTTTTGTTTTTCATAATGATTCTCCCCTCATCTGACAGCTTATTTCTTGATTAAGTCTTTGTTTCTGTGTCTTCTCTTCTTGCGTATGATCACCCGGAGCAGCGGAGGAAAATTCAAGAGCGATAATGCACAACACGGTCAGAGAGGATGATGCACTAATCATAGTTTCTGCATTTTCGTCAGTCTCCCACCCAACGGCATTAGCTTAATGATCATAAGAATTTAACATGTTTCCAAAACTGCAAAAGCCACAGAGTTTTACATGTGAAACAAAAGCTTTGACAAATCACAAAACCCACTTTTGGAATGATCATGTTGTCAAGAAAAGCACAGCACTTGTCGCCGTGCATGCTAAGACCTTTAACAAGCGTGCTGTGTGAGCTTTAGGTTCTCAGAGTGTGTGTTGGAGATGACTCTCAGCTATTACTGCACCTAATCCACAATGTCTGTAGAGTGTTGCAGCCTTGTTTGTGTTTGGTAAGTTGATCAGCTGTGGCAGCCATCTTAAATCAAGTCATCTCCAAAAATTAACACATTTTAGACATAAAGTTAAGGATTACTGTCTGAGAGTTTTGTTAAAATATGTCCAGTAGTTCAGGAGTTATTCGACAAACAAACATGCAGACGTGTAGCTGATTGCATGGATGCAGCAATACATTACCTCATGTTGTCATGAAAGGCAAGCAATATTAAATTTTAATAGAAACAAGCATAAACTCTACAAATATGTTCTATGATTTGACAATTAAATACAATTCCCAGGACATGTAAAATTAATTTTGGAGTTATTGTTTTGTATCCCGTCACTAAAAGACAAAAAGTGAGCAATACTGTTTTTACCATGGGGGGTTTGTATCTGTCAGAAAGAAAAAAACAACCACATGAACCAGTGAATAATTTTTAAAGATATTCCCAGAAACTCTTCATTACAATTACATTTAGCACTGGTCGTTTCTAACATCATCCAAATTCAAGATGGCTGCCACAGCTAATCAATATTAGAAACAACTAAAATGGTAATATTTGTGTCAGTTTTAGATATATTAATCTAAAATTGAGTTGGGTAGTAGATAAGAAGTATTCAAAACACAAACTCTGAGCGCTAACTTGCATGAGACCTGTTTTAAAAACTTTGTCACTGGGTCTTTTAGTAATTGTAATTGAAGTAAAATTAATAGTACTTAAATTATTAGAAGTAGTAATAGTAGTAGGAGTAGTAGGAGTATTTGTAAGGGTGTTAATGGTAGTAG